CAGAAAAAATGTTTAACTGTGCTTTATTGACAACGCAAAGGCTTTTGATGGTATGGATCATGACAAGCTAAGGACAACAATGTGAAGTATGAGTATTCCGGAACACTTAATTGTGCTCATGAGGAATCTGTAACTGGACCAAGAGGCAGTTGTTCAAACAGAATATGGAAGCATTGAATGGTTTAAAATTAAGAAAGGGGTGTGACAAGGTTGTATTCTTTCACCATCCTTATTCAGTCTGTATGCTGAGCAAATAATCCGAGAAGCTGGGTTACATTAAGAAAAATGTGGCATCAGGATTAGAGAAAGGCTCATTAACAACCTGTGATATGCAGATGATACACCCTTGCTTGCTGAAAATGAAGAGGACTTAAAACATTTACTAATGAAGATCAAAGAGCACAGCCTTTGGTATGGATTACATCTCAATGTAAAGAAAACAAAAATCCTCACCACTCAACCAATAAACAACATTCTTACCAATGGAGAAAAGATCGACGTTGTCAAGGACTTCATTCTTCTTGTATCAACTATCAACACTCACGGAAGCAGCAGTCAAGAAATCAAACGACGTGTTGCATTGGGAAAATCTGCTGCACAGGAACTTTTTAAAGTATTGAAGAGCAGAGATGTCAGCTTGAGGACTAAGGTGTGCCTGACCCAAGCCATGGTATTTTCAGTAACTTCATATGCATGTGAAAGCTGGACAGGGAATAAGGAAGATCGTAGAAGAATGATTGCTTTTGAGTTGTGATGTTGGAGGAGAATATTGAAAGTGCCATGGGTTACCAATAGATGTATTTTGGAAGAAGTGCAGCCAGAGTGTTCCTTGGAGGCCAAGAGGGCCCCAAACTTCGTCTCTCATACTTTGGGCATATTGTCAGGAGGGACAAGTCGCTGGAGAAGGATATAATGTTGGGTAAAATGGAGGGTCAGAGAAAAAGAGGAAGAACCCCAATGAAATGGATTAGCCAAGTGGCAGCATCGATGGACTCAAGCGTGGCAACAGTAGTGAGGTTGGCCCAGGATTGGGCAATGTTTCGTTCCACTGTGGGTCTGTACCAACTCGATGGCACCTAACAACAACAACAACAATTAGGACACATTTATGACTGAGGTTAAGAATCTCCTAAATATTTGCTCAAGTTGGATTTTCCATAAATACTCCTTGATTTTGTATTCTGTGGTTGGCTGTTTACTTTAGTCATATCAATCTTTACTTCACTTTTGTGCGACATTTGTACCAACTAATCAGAAATATGTATTTTCAAAATAAAGTACTCTATTCAGCTCTTATTTTCCTAATTAATAGTAATTTGTTGTTGTTAAGTGTTGTCAGTCAAGTAGGTGCTGATTCATAGCGAACCTGTAGAGCAGGCATGGGGAATGTCTTTTCTGCCAAAATTAAATCCCAAATCTAACACCATTCACGGGCCATAAAAATGATCAACTTAAAAATTAGTCTGCTGTATTTGGTCAACATTTAATTCACTCACTCTTAATGTGATTACTGGAACTGTTGTTGCTTTGGCAGGGCCAGACCAAATGATTTTGAATTCTCCCCCCCTGCTGTATAGGGTATCCTAGGGGAAAATGGTCAGTTTGACCTGCTGACCTTGTGGTTATCAGTCCAATGCTTCCTACAACGCCACACCAGGAATTAATTGATTATATTACCAAATGCCATTTCTCCACATTAATTTATCTCAATAAATCTATAAAAGATTAATAATCTTATTTGTGCTTTTTTAATATTGACATTGCCAAATACGATAATGCATACACAGTAAATAAGTTTAAAGAAAGCTCAATATAAGTGAACAGGACATTGATTTGGCCCCAGAGTATGCCTGGAGCAGCTGCATATTTGATTGAAAGTTGTCTTGCTAACTCTATTTAAGACATAAATCCAGGTTATGATTTCACTGAGCTTCTAGGCCATTCTTCTAGAGGGGCTCAGCTGTCTGTGAAAGCTGCCAAATGTCTTGAAGAGATTGTTGCAGGAAATATGGCAGCCTTCACTAAATGACAAGTTATACTTGCCCTTTTCCTGACATCTTCAGTATGACGGGCTAACGGGATTTCTGGAGGAAACTTAACTACTCAGTAATGTTAGAAATGTAAGGTTCAGGCAGATGGAGATCTTACACAGATGTGTCTAAGGACAGGTGATTTGTATCACAAGAATTTGCTGTTTTCAGTGACTTTTCAGATGTCACATAAAATCTAGTTTGATTAGTTTTAAGATAGTATGCATGGATGATACTTTACAAGCCATTTCTAAATTCTCTTATCTATTTTGAAACTGGGGCAGGTTGGTAAAGGATTTGTGTTTAAAATATTTTTAATATAAATTGAATCATTAATGATTGCATTTTGTTGGGTGTGGATGGAAATTTTGTGATATATTATTTGACTCTCCAAATGAATAATCTACAATGTATCATATCAGAAAAATATAGAAACTTTTCCTAGTTTATAACCACATTGCGAAGGAGCTCTGGTAGTATAGTGGTTATGAATTGGGCTGCAAACTGCAAGGTCAGCAGTTCGAAACTACCAGCTGTTCCATGGGAGAAAGATGAGGCTTTCTGCTCCCGTAAAGATTTACAGCCTCAGAAACCCTGTACGGGGTCGCTATGAGTCGGAACTGACTCCATGGCACAAAGCAACAACAACCACATTAAGAGCATCACAGACCTTACTCATTGGCATTTTCACTCTACCAACAACAAAGCAGCATCTCATCTTCTTCAGTTTGATTTCCTCTTTATTTTAAAATGTTTCAGAGCAAGAAGAGATCTACAACTGCAAGGGAAATATTATGAATAAAAGATTGGCCATCCTTGGTTGAACCAATCCTTGGTTCAAAACTAACAAGCACCAAAATTGAACATTTATGACACAGCGCTAATGCATAAGAACTAAATATGAAGACAAGAATGAACTTAATTGGTTACTTGGTTATTGCCCTTTAATTGGTTATTGTAAGTGGTTATTGCCAAAATGATTATTTATTGTATTGTTAATGAAATAAAATATAATTAGAATATGTATACTTATTTTGAAAATATATAATCAAGAGAAAAGTCATAAATTATTAATAGATCCCTTGTTGTTAAGTTCCATCGAGTCACTTTTTGACTCATAGCTACCCAAAATGAGATTAGCACTGCTGCATCTGATGTTCGAGGCAGTTCAAACTCACCAACCTCTCCTCAGAAACCCTATACAGGCTCCCTATGGGTCAGAGGAGTCTTGGTGTGGCGCTGTGGGCTAATGTGTCAGACTGCATCATCATTTGAACTGCAAGGTCAGTGGTTCAAGCTTACCAGCTGTTCCTTGGAAACCCTATACAGGGTCACTATGGGTTGGAATCGACTCGATGGCACTCAACAACAACAACAATGCATCAGAAGCAACTTGATAGCACTTAAAAACAACAGCAACAATCCTTATTGAGTCCTGGTGTAGCACTGTAGGATAAGCACTAGACCACACGATTGATTTAAACCACATGATGGTGGCTCAAACCCACCAGCCACTCCTCAGAAACACTATACAGGGTCAATATGAGTCAGAACCAACTCAATGACACTCAACAACAGATCTTTTGGGGAACAAATTACTAGATCTTTTCTCCCATAGATCCAGTTGTTGTTGTTGTTAGGTGCCATCGAGTCGGTACCGACCCATAGTGACCTTATGCACAGCAGAATGAAACACTGCCCAAACCTCACTACTGTTGCCACGCTTGAGTCCATTGATGCTGCCGCTTGGCCAATCCATCTCACTGGGAGACTTTCTCGTGTTCTCTGACCCTCCATCTGACCAAACATGATATCCTTCTCCAGCGACTGATCCATTCTGACAATATGTCCCAAGTATGAGAGACGATTTTTGGCCATCTTGGCCTCCAAGGAACACTCTGGCTGCACTTCTTTCAAAATGGATCTATTGGTTCTTTTGGAAGCCCATGGTACTTTCAATATTCTCCTCCAACGCTATAACTCAAAAGCATCAATTCTTCTAGTGTCTTCCTTATTCACTGTCCAGCTTTCACATCCATATGAGGTTATTGAAAATACCATGGCTTGGGTCAGGTGCACCTTAATCCTCAAGCTGATTTCTTTGCTCTTCAACACTTTCAAAAGGTCTTGTGCAGCAGATTTGCCTAATGCAATACGTCGTTTGATCTCTTGACTGCTGCTTCCATGAGTGTTGATAGTTGATCCAAGAAGAATGCATTCCTTGACAACTTCAATCTTTTCTCAGTTGATAAGAATGTTGTTTATTGGTTGAGTGGTGAGGATTTTTGTTTTCTTTATATTGAGATGTAATCCATACCAAAGTCTGTGCTCTTTGATCTTCAGAGCCAGTTGTTGTTGTTGTTAATTGCCATCGAGTCGGTTCTGACCCATAGCGACCCTATACAGGGTTTCCGAGGCTGTAAATCTTTACGGGAGCAGAAAGCCTCATCTTTCTCCCGCGGAGCAGCTGGTAGTTTCGAACTGCTGACCTTGCGGTTCAGAGCCAGTAGGTGGATTCAAACTGCCAAATTTTTGGTAAACAGCTGATGACTTAACTATTGCATCTTAATTATGTTTTATTTTTCCCAAGAATGTATTTTCTTGGAACTAATGAATTCAAAAGAATTCCTATTATTTTTTGTATGTTTGTCTATGTATTTATATGTGCATGTGATTATAAACATACACACATATAGTTATATTAACATATGTGAATTTTAAAATATCAAATGTGCATTGTTGTTGTTAGGTGCTGTTCTGTCAGTTCCAACTCATAGTGACCCTATGTACAACTGAACAAAATACTGCCCAGTCCTCTGCAATGTGTATCTATATACATCAATAGAAATCAATATGTACTGGCATATAGAGTTTCAATTAATCATGTATATAAAATAATAAGTGCATATTACTGATATTGTACAGAATCTCTGGATCTAAACATAAATTTCGATTTTGTTTCCAAACCAGAGAATATTATATCACAATGGTTAAGTGGGTAAGCAATACCAAGACAGTGGTCAGATGGTTAAATCGACCTCAGAACATCTCTGTCCTCACAGTCTGTGAGACCACTACTGGAGCTTGTAGCAGAGTGAGTATGATCCTTTATTTATGTTGAAAATGACAGTTTGTAACCCTTTGAAAGGAAATTTGGAAATTGTTTATACAAAGCCTTCAATATTTAACTGTGCAATGTTAAAAGGAAAACAGAGAGTGGTTCTATAGCAAGTGTAATCTTTAATCTATAAATCTCCCATAAAAGCAGAAAATAGCAAGTGAGCTTTAAAAATATATATATGAATAGATATACAGCATAAATAGTAATTCAAGTCACATTAGTTTCATTCTCATAGTTGAAAAGTTTTTCATATTTGGTCTTTAATTGTAGAAAATGGGATGATTTCTTTATAGATTCTTTAAAAAATACATTTTAAAAACCTATTTTTCTTGTAGTCTACATTAGTTTTATCAAGTAACAAGGATGCCTCTTTCCTTAATGTAATAAAATACTGACAAAAGAAAAAAAAAATTGCTTTGAAACACGGTTTTGAAAGCAGGTTGTATCTCAGTATCCAAAGTCACTGTTTATAAACTGCAATAAATTCTATGTAATCACTTTTAAAGGTATTTGCAGAGGTAACTGTACAATCAGTTTGAATTGCTATCTTATCTACCTGAAACTTGGATTAGGGATTCCAGTTTTATTTAACAATTGAATTTTCAAGCTTTCACTTAATATTCCTTGGTCAAAGAACATTAACACACATGAAAAACATTATCAAACATGTTCATGTATCATCCATATTTATAAATGTGTTGTTGTTGCTAAGTGCCTTAGAGTCAGTTCCTACTCTGGGCAAATCTGTATAAGGTTTCTGAGATGTGTGAGTTTGAACTATTGACATTGTGGTTCAAATCAATAAGCACTGTTGGCCCAGTGCTTATCCTATAGTGACACACCAATATAAACAGATAATACTAATATGTCATGCCCAAGTTTGTTGACCCCAGAAATTCAAGGTGACTTTAATATGGAAAATTAATCAATACTGTTCTTTATATTAATTAAAAGAAAAATAAAAAAATAATTAGTGGATACAGATATCAATTGGCAATGTAAAACAACCATTCATAATCATAAATTTGAACATAAAAGAATAGCTAGAATCATCACATCACCAGTCTGAGAAAAGATAACCAGCCATGAATACCACCAGGAAATATAGTTGATGATGAAATATTGGCCTCAGTCACTGTGTTGTTATTGTTGTTGTTAAGTGTGGTTGTTGAGTCGGCTCCCACCCATAGCAACCCTGTACAGGATTTCCGAGAAGCCACTGGTGAGCTTGAACTACTGACATTGTGGTTCAAACCAACTTTCCACTGCAGCGCATTAACCCAAAGTGCCACAGAACTTCGCAGCAATAAAGTAAGATTATTTATATTTACTAAGGAGCTCTGGTAATGTAGTGGTTACGAATCGGGAATCAGGCTGCAAACCTCAAGGTCAGCACTTCGAAACTACCAGCTGTTCCACCAGAAAGAGAAGAGGCTTTCTGCTCCCATTAAGATTTATAGCCTCGGAAATCCTGTACAGGATCACTATGAGTCATACAGCCAACTCTAAGGCACAGAGCCAGCCAGCCATTTACATTTATATATCTATAGCTCTGGTAGCGTAGTGGTTACGAATCGGGCTGCGAACCTTAAGGTCAGTGGTTCGAAACTACCAGCCGCTCCGCGGGAGAAAGATGAGGCTTTCTA